TACCTAAAGCCGGGCAACGGCAAGAGTCGCTTGGGATCCAGTCCTTGGACGCTGAGGGTCCAGGAGCTGCATTTAAGGCAAGGTCATGAAAACTGGAACAGGGCTAGCCCGAAGAGCACCAGATCCGGGGAACAGCGCTCACTCCGCGGCTTCTGGAGAGCGACAGAGACAGAGTGGAAAACCAGGCTCAGGGCCCCTGAGCTGTGTTCCACCAGTGCAACTTGAGGTTCACATGGAGAATTCAACAGCCCAATCCTTTAAAAGCCCACTTGAGATTGAAAGTAAGGATTTTCCGTTCTTTTTACCTTCAAAATGGGATCTCGTCTAGACTCTAAATCATACCACATGGGGCTGAGTAAGGGTCTACTGGAGGCAAGAACCCACAGTAACCATGGGCTACACGTCAGTGAGGGAGCGGCAATTGGGGCAGCCCCTTGTCTTTATCAGTCGCCGGCCATCGGAGAGCACAGGCCCTTAGCTCTGAGACGGGGTTCTTCAAAAGAATTATGTCCCATGTATCAAATTATCCTAGAGGGACCCCAAGCCCCCCTTTATTTAAAAGTGTTACGTTAGGACTTTGGTATTAGAGACAGGATGAAAAGCCATGCCGCCGCTAGCAGATTTTGTGCTGCTTTTACAGTGAGAAAATCAGATTATTCCCCAGTTTGGAGCCAAGGGGGAAGAATCATGCCATTGTACAGGTTACTTAAAATTCCACACTGCCTGCACCATTTGGCCCAAAAATGCTAAGAATCTGCAGCTGTTGCTCCCACGGAAGGCTTCTAACTGGGGCAGCGAGCGCCCCTGCACACAGCTGCTGTTAATTCGAGATGGAGCCTTTTAATTGCCTTTGTGTCAAGATTTATTAAATAACACTTCAGAGGGGCAAACCTGTAGTAGTCATATTAGTAGAAGGCTGAAAGTAGAAAATAACTGGAACAGTGTCTTTGCCTTGGAAGCCAAGTCAGAAAATATCTTCCCCACATGGCCAGCCACCAGCCATCCCGGGAAAAGCGCTTCCAGGTAAACACAACCCCACTCCCCCCAGCTCAGCTGAGAACTCCCCTTAGTCATTTACCTGGAAACACTTCTTCCTCTGAGTGTCATCTCTTGTCCCCACGCTCTCCCTTCCTATTACAGCTGGAAGCAAGAGTCCCTGCTTGGGGCAGCTCTGGCATTAGGGGACAGCTGCTCCTGGGGGAGGGGGGGTCTGTCTCGTTTCTGCTACCTTCTGTAATTGCTGGTTTCCTAGTATGTTTGGCTCCTCTGTGCGGTCCTGTGGAGGTGTCTGAACCTCCCACCCTTGGCTTCCAGCAGCTGTCTGGATGAGCAGATGACAGAGTGCATGAATCCTTCCTGACGTGTCTGCCACAGCAAGGAAGGGAGCTTGATAGGCCCTCCGCTAAAGTGGGTCAGGCGCTGGCATCCCTTAGTAGCGAGTTCCACTGCCCAGAGAGCCGGGATTCAGTCTAGACTCTCAATGGTGTTTTGCATTTTTATTTCAAATATTCCCTTCTCAGGAAGCTGCAACTAGGAGACATGAATGAGCACCAGTTATTCACGCGCGCGCACACACACACACACACACACACACCAAATAAATAAAGTAAATAGAGTTTAAGTTTTCTCTAAAAGCTAGGGAATAGAAAGAAGAGGAAGGCCCTGGTGTCTGAAGCTGTATCAGGAAGAGTGAATGCTCCATGGTTCTTTAGAAGGAACCAGTTTAAAAAGATTCATAAAGACACAGAAGAGCTGTCAGAGAAGCCTGAGGAGCGTGTGGAGTGTGAGGATGGAGGGTGTCTCATCACTCTAGAGCACTCCAGCGTCCCTGCTACACACGGAACCAGAGTGTCCACACACACACACACACACACACGGTTCCATCCGCAGACTGCCTTTGACTTGCAGTGGAATATCCTGATGGACCCAACAGTGTCCTTGAAAGCTAGCAAACTCATTCAGAGCCCTACATTCTTCTTCTGGTCACCGTCAATGTGGAACAGCCCTGCTGGCTTTCTCTGACGCATCTGACTTTTAAATTTTTTATCAATTTTTTTAAAATTATTTATTATGTATACAGTATTCTGTCTGTGTGTGTCTGCAGGCCAAAAGAGGGCACCAAACCTCATTACAGATGGCTGTGAGCCACCATGTGGTTGCTGGGAATTGAACTCATGATCTTTGGAAGAGCAGGCAATGCTCTTAACCACTGAGCCATCTCTCCAGCACCCTTTTATCAATTTTTTAAGGGGAGAGAAAGAACAGGTGGAAGAGGGAAAATGGGGCAAGGGGGACTGGAGAGATGGCTCAGTGATTAAGAGCATTGCCTGTTTTTCCAAAGATTCTGTGTTCATTCCCAGCAACCACATGGTGGCTCATAACCATCTGTAAAGGGGTTTGGTGCCCTCTTCTGGCCTGCAGACATATACACACAGACAGAATATTGTATACATAATAAATAAATAATTAAAAAAAAAAAAGAAAATAGGGCAAGAGGCTGAAGGACCCAAGTGTCACCACCCCAGGTTTGCGCTTCGCTACGCGGGGCACGGGACAGCACTGGTCAATCAGGAGCTGGAGGATGCTATTCAGGTAGACTCTCAGGGCAGCAGGCTCCGTACACTCTAGAGCCTCACCCATCCTGTGAGCAGGGACTGAAGGAAGGCCGTACTCTTCCTAGGCTGAGAGCATCAGGAGACAAAATGTGGCCCCAGGGGGGAGAAGGGCACACCTCTGCCAAGCAGAGCCCCAGCTGCAAACTCCAGGTTAGAGCCTACTACACACACAAGGGCGTTAACCTCTCTCTGCCACTATTTTCCCACCTGTATAATGGACATTATCACAATGCCTGCCTCTTCTGCTATTCTAAATTGATGCCTAGAAGGGTTGAGTAGTGACTGGGGCCATGGGCATTGATTAAAGGTTAGCTATTGTTTTTAGATGTAAAATATTCCAACTTGGCAACTAGCTAAACTTGGGGAAGGGTGGGGAAAGAGTCAAATGTAATATTCAAGTCAATAGGGCAGATACTCAGAATTTTAATTTATTTATTTATTGGGTTTTTTTGAGACCGGGTTTCTCTGTAGCTTTGGAACCTGTCCTGGAACTAGCTCTTGTAGACCAGGTTGGCCTCGAACTCATAGAGAGCCACCTGCCTCTGCCTCCCAAGTGTTGGGATTGAAGGTGTGTGCCACCAGCGCTAGGCCAGATACTCAGAATTATTAACAGCTTGAAAAATAGAAAACATTCATTGAGGGAGAACCTAAAAGGTGTCAGAGAAACCCGAGGGGCTGGTCCACATTGACGGTGACCAGAAGAGGAATGTGGGGCCCTGATTGTTGGATTTCAAGGACACTGTTGGGTCCATGGGTGTGCTTGCACTGCAAGTCAAGGGCGGTCTGCGGATGTAGGATGTAACCGTGGAGGGGGGAACTTTGGTCCCGTGTGTAGCAGGGACGCTGGAGTGCTCTAGAGTGATGAGACACCGGCCATCCTCACATTCCACACGCTCTTCAGGCTTCTCTGACAGCTCTTCTACAGGGTTACAAATATCTGAAACCATAAGCCACAAGCAGTATGTTTTGAAAATGAATAGCCGGGGTTTCTTAAGAATTCACCAAGTGTAGGATATTGTGCCCTGGAGGTCCCGTGCTGCAGGAGAGGTGTGGATGCTCCTGTCTCCGGGCCATGGAGCAGGCTGAGTTCCTCCCACTCAGCACCTGCTCCTGCTCACAGCTGCTATGCATGCTCCAGCACCTCCCACTCCACAGAAAGCTACCTGTTTCAGGACTGGCCCATGTTCCACACTGTGTGCATGCATCCCTAGGTCCCAACACAATGCTGGATGTCATAAGGCTCCTGTACATATCTGGTGAAGGAAGTACTACAGCTTACCCCCGTGGTGACAACAGTAAAGTCACCAAACGGAAGCTGGAGATACTCGTGGCCAGCCATGTCACTCTTGAGCATCCATTCTGAAGTGTACAGGCGAGCAAACCATGTCAAATGGGCTGCTGCAATGTCCATATAGACAGGGCATGAAGCCCTTCAGAAGCCCACCCGCAGAGAAAATGTGATGGGCTGAGGGCCAGGATAGCACAAGGACCTGAGTCCAGTCTCCAGAATAGAAAAAGCCAGGGGTGGGGCCAGAGAGATGGCTCAGTGGTTAAGAGCGCTAGATTCAGGGAATATTACACTGTCTTCTGGACCCATAGGTACCAGGCATGCACACAATACACAGATACACATGCAGGCAAATACCTATACACATAAAATAAAAATAAATAAATCTTAAGTCTGGAGGGCTGACAAGAAAGTTCAGCAGATGAAGGTGCCTGCCACGAAGCTTCAGCCCCCAGAACCCACCTGGTAGGAGAGAGCTGACTCCAAAAGCTGTGCTTTGACCTCCATGTGTGCACCATTGCACGTGTAAGCACACAAACGATTCATAATGGGAGAAAAGCCAGGTGTCATGTGCTCAGAATTCTAGTACTGGGGAGAGGGAAGCAGGGCAATCCCTGCGGCTTACAGTGCAGCCAACCTAGTTTACTTGGCGAGTTCTAGACCAGTGAATCTCTAGATCAATGAGAGAGCCTGTCTAAAATGCATGGCAGATGCTGAACATGAACCCGGGGTTGTCCCCTGACCTCTGGAAAGCATGGACACATACATGCACCTCCATACACACAAACATACGCACACAAAAGAAATGAAGACACCGATTCATGCACTCATTGTGTCCCCTCCACAGAATCTAGATCGCACATGCATACATAACATGCAAATCGAAAGTTGGTCATTTGGGAAGAGGATGGGTCTGGTGTTGCAGGGCTGTGAGAGGGGGCTGTGGGTGAGTGAGCAGAGCATATGGTAAACATACATAAAATGTCATAAGGAAACCATTATTTTATACAATGAATATCCACTAGAAAAAATAATTATGTCCCCCAAAAAGGAGGCAGTGGACTTGATATGTATGTCTGACATGTCTCCTTCCCAAGGTGGCCCCGGCTCCGGCAAAGGCACCCAGTGTGAGAAACTGGCAGAAAAATACGGATTCACTCAGCTCTCTACTGGTGAGCTCCTGCGCCAGGAACTGGCCTCAGAGTCAGAAAGAAGCAGACTGATCCGCGACGTCATGGAGCGTGGAGACCTGGTGCCCTCGGTAAGCAGAGACCCACCCTGCTCTCTGCTGTCCCTGGCAGTCAAGCCATTGGCTGCTGTGGCAGACTGGACCACCAAGACAGAGAAACCTTAAGGGCCAAGGAACAGCTTTGATTATTGTCCGTGGTGACGGTCCTGAGGTGGTCCGGTCTGTACCGACAACCACTCGCCTTCCAAGCTGTTCCGTGGCCAGCCGCTTAAATGTCGACCTGGATCCTGTGTTTCCAAATCCAGCCTCACTTTAGAGTAAAATCTTGAAAATGCAGGTGGTATGGAAAGCTAAAATCAGAACACTCAAGAAAATGAAATCTCCTTGGAGTGGTGGTGTGCTGTGCTGTGCTAACTGTCCACATGACAGGCCCTAGCATCACCTAGAAGACAGGTGGTTCTGTGAGCATGCCCGTGGGAGAGTATCTTGACTGGGCTCATTGGTGTGAGGACACAGCTTGACTGTGAACAGGACCAAGCTCTGAGTGGGGGACCCTTGTCCTAGGATAAATACCAGGACCAAAAGCAGTTTATGGGTGGAAACAGTTCATCGGTATCCCAGGTCACACTCCATCACTAAGGAAGCCAAGGCAGGAACCTCAAGGCAGGAACTGAAACAGAAACGACAGGGGAACGCTGCCGGCTGGCTTACTCCCTAGCTTGCTCAAACCTACTTTCTTATATAGCCCAGGATCGCCTGCCAGGAGAAGCATATTTCTACCTACGGCTGGCCCCTCCCACATCAATCCACAAGAGAGTGTCCCATTGACACGCCCACAGGCCAATACGATGGAGGCAATTCTTCCATTAAGGTTTATATAAGATGGAGAAAGAAAGCTATGTAAAGCATATGTTTTATTTACCGTGTGTGTGTGTGTGTGTGTGTGTGTGTGTGTGTGTGTGTGTGTGTGTGTGTGTTTCAAGGCCAGAGGACGATGTTAGGAGATTAGGTGTCTTCTCCCATCTATTGCCCCCCACCCTAGTTTTTGAGATGGGTCTCTCACTGAACCTGTTCACCTTTTGGCCAGGCTGAGTGGTCAGGGAGATCTTGGAATCCACCTGCCCCTGCCTCCCAGTACTATGGGTGGCTGCTGGTATGTGTTGCTGTGCCTAGCCTTTTGGAACGGGCACTAGGGAGTTTGAATTCAGGACCTCATGTTTTCATAGCAAACGCTCTGGCCCACAGATCCTCAAAGCTCTACATACCTAGCACCACCCCTTCACCGCCCTCACGGTGCTGGCTCCCACGTAGCTCCCTCCTGTCAGGCTGCTCTGCCTCTGCTGGCTCCTCAGCCCAGTGCTGTCCGCATGCATTCTCTAGCTGGTTCATTTGCTTCCAGCAGAGACCTGCCTAAGTGCCACAAGCCATCAAAGAGGCCACCCTGGGGAAAACTCGTCCCAGCTCTGCTCTGGCCCCGGCCCTCCTTTCACTGTGTCTGTCTTAGCTGTCATCTACTCCGTTGTCTCTCTTCCTTATTCCGCGGTGAAGCTGATGAAGAGTTAATTCACAATTACTTAGGAAAGGGTTCTAGGCATATCTGCGACATCTGCATTCCCTCAGGGTCCTAAAAACTAGAGAATGAGGCCCCCACTCCTCCACAGGACTTTCCCTCCACGCTCCTCTCCCTGCCTCCCTCCACATTCTTAGTTTCCACAATCATCGGTTAAATCATCTTTAGAATGAGGGAATTGTGTTGTTAGAGAAATGGTTCTTCAATCTCACAGTCTTCTCAAGTAGCACATGTCAAGATGTGTATGATGCTTCCTGGGAGGACATCAGGGTGAATATGTTCTTGTTTGCCCCTAATCTGCCACGACGCCCTGTTCGTTCAGTTGCTGCCGGGTGAGACAGAGCTAGCATGTCTCCCGGGGTGTAAAATACCGTGTTTGGAGGAGAATGTCTGAGGATGGGGGCTGTGGCTGGTCCCCACACTGACCACTCTCTCTGCTGTAGGGTATCATCCTGGAGCTGCTGAAGGAGGCCATGGTGGCCAGCCTGGGAAACACCAAGGGCTTCCTGATTGACGGCTACCCGCGGGAAGTGAAACAGGGGGAAGAGTTTGGAAGAAGGGTGAGTGGATGTTGGCAGTATCCCCAGGTTCAAAGCCTTCATTGGCCCAGTAACACTGACCAGATCTTTCCATTGCAAGTAACAGAGACTGTTTTAAAAGAGGGAATATAAAAACGGCAAGAAGTCAGTCGTGGTCAGGCTTGGCCGGGTCCTAGGTGCAGAACTACCCTCGTAGACAAGTTGTAGGTGCAGAACTACCCTCGTAGACAAGTTGTAGGTGCAGAACTACCCTCGTAGACGGGCTCTAGGTGCAGAACTACCCTTGTAGACTGGTTGTAGGTGCAGAACTACCCTTGTAGACTGGTTGTAGGTGCAGAACTACCCTCAGACTCATCCTGTTCAGTCTGGATTTTCCTGTCTTCGTGTTGGCCCAGTCTCTTCTATTCTAGGCTTATCGTCCCCATTTCTGTGACCTCACAGAAAACTATTTCTGTTTTAGGGGTGGCGGGATGTCCCACAAAAGACCCAAGGCTGTTTCCTTCTCACCCTTCATCACTGAATGGCTGTGACAAGGGGAGGGTATCTGATAGACCCAGCCTAGAGGAGCCGGTAGCGGGCAGGTGGCGCTCTGCCTGAGCCACGCAGCCTGAGAAGGAAAGGCAGTCACCCCTGGGGGAACAGAGAAAGGAGATGCTGTGAGGGCAGGATCCAGATGTGTGCCGCTCCCTCCCCTCCCCCATGCCATCCCCAGCCTTGTCCTTCCAATGAGGTAACTGGCTCAGGGCCTTCATGGGAACACTAGGCCGGTGGCACATACGGACACCTTGCCTGCAACTCCAGGCGAACAGGGGCACACGTGTGGCACTGGCGCCAGAACCCACGAGGAAGGCATGGGCATTGGCTGCTGCTGCACTTGCAGATTTCCCTGGAAGCCTTTCAGTTGATATTTTTAAAGAGAAGAGACCTTTTCAGGTAGAGAGCAGAAAGAAAGGCCTCACACTAAGGGGATGGATTAAGCACAGAGAGGTTTGGTAACTTGCCAATGGTCACACAGCTGGTAATAGCTAATGATAGGACCAAGATTTGGGGGCACCCAGGACCACCCCTTCTAACACTGCCATGTGGGTAAAGGCGGCTAACCCTGGAAATTCACCTGCTCTTGTGTCTGCCTGGTCTAACCTCCCTCAGGATCCCTCCACGCCTATCTCCTTCTTAAATTTACAGCCACATGACCAGAGAGATGGTTTACTAGTTGGGAACACTTGCTGCTTTTATAGGGGACCTGAGTTTGGTTCCCAGCCCCCACGTGGGGCCTCACAACTGCCAGTAATTCAGATACAGGGTACCCAACTCCCCCCTCTGGCCTCCATGGGCACCAGGCATGCAGAAGGCGCTCATCATAGAAGCAAAGACGCACACACATACACATACTACATAAAATGAAATTTAAATACATCTTTTAAAAAAAAGTCAAAGGAAAGCTTCATGGTCCACTTGGCAAAGGTAGACGGGGGTTGCAGGTTCATGTGGCCAGGCCTCGTGGTAGCATCCAGAAATAAATGAGAACAGCAAAAACAAGTAAACGTATGGTCAGGTGACTGCAGCTGGCCGCTGGGTGACACCAGACGATGTCACAGCTGCCTTTGCTGAGGCAGGAGGAGTGGGCACAGGCCGTGCCCTGCCTGCACGTTCAAGGTGCGCTCAGAGGTCATAGGATACTCTTGAGACCCCCAAGGTCTCCGAGATAAGACATATTGTAAATGTCTCACCCCCTCTCCAGGTAAAGCAACAACGAAATTATAACCTGAGTTCTTCATTTGGACTCCTTAGAGCCGGGGCTGATGGCAGATCCCACAATGGATGCCCGTGGAGTTATAAGCCACACCAGGCACCAGTGGGGATCTGAGGAGATGCAGGCATAGCCAACCAGCAGCCCACAGGCCACGTGCACCCCAAGACTGCTATAGATATAGCCTAACAAGTTTATAGATGGTAACAGTTATGGCCCAGTCCAAGAGGTTTGTTGCCTTCCCATGTCTTTCCACGTTGACCTCCTTACAGCTCATCATTCCTGCAGCCTGGTTCTGGCTGCTGGACAGGAGTTGCAGACAAGGCACGGAGACTTCCCTAACTTGTCGACACAACCCTTCACTATTCCTGTCCATCATTTCCTCCTCCTCTGCCTAGAACCCAGGCAGTGTGGGCTCAAGGCTCAGTATGGGAATTCCTTCCCACTGTGAACCCCACTGAGTCAGCCTTCAGAGGTGGCCAGAAGCAGCTCATGTATCCTCGCTAGCTGGAGGTGTCCCATCTCACCACCCAGCCACCTTCAAGTGACATGTCTACTTCTTTACAGTCAGGCCCTTACACAGTGCCAGGAGGATGACTTCAGCGGATCCCAGTGTCCACTAAGTAGGTGTGCACGAACCACACATGAAGTGTGAGCGCCCACCTCAACTTTAAATAGAATGAAGACACTGCCCACACAGGAAGACTCTTGATATGAGGTCCATGTCCTCAAATATTAAAAGAGAAAAGTTCAGGGGTCTGGAGAGATGAATGGCACAAAGGTTAAGAGGGTTTGCTACTCTTCCAGAGGTACAAAAATTCTCAACTATTTTTCTCAAAGAAAAATTGAGAAAACAATGTACATAAGAGATTCGGGTCACTCCCTACATAATTACTGTGCCAACTGTGTTCATGGCAACAGTGCAGGATCCAGGAAAGCGAGGTCAAGCCTTGCGGTTGGTGTCCAAGGAAACGAGTTGGCAGGAAGCTCTAGACAATCCGCTGCAAGGCTTGTTACATTACCATGGTACCATCCGTGTTACCATGGCTTCTGGTAACGTGCGGGCAGGCACTGGTTCAATGTCAGGTCTACTCCAGGGCTGCATGCCCAACAAGCCCGGAACAGTGTGCTGGTGCTGGCGAGCCCACCTGTGTTGTGCCCTTACATAGTGCACAATGTTGAAGCCACGTCTCTCCCTGCTCTTAAGTTGGTCCTGGTGGGCTTTCATGGCTGGCTTCCAGATTAGATACAAATAACCCCTGCTTGTGACTGACTGAATCCCAAGAATGACCTGGAAAATGCTAATCACTGGGAAAGCCAACTCAACCACCAGTGCCTCCCAAGATCGCCCTCTGCTGGTGAACCAGGGTGGTTCTCTCCTGCTACCTCACCCTCCCCTAGCCTTTGGGCACAAGCACCCCTCAGAGAAGCATGACCTGTTCAAGGCTGAGTTATATTCCAGAGGTCAGACTTTAGCTCATTCCTCCACTCTGTTCCTTATGCACCGTGCTCCCCTCAGAGGGGTGGCAAGGCTTCCTGCCCCCTGCATCCTGAACATGGCATGCTGGTAGGGTGGTGGTATGGGAATGGCTTTTGTGGATCAGGGATAGGGACGTAGAGTTGGTACATCCCAGGGATAGCAGGGACAACAATGTCAGGACCAGCTTCAACAAAAATGCCTCTTGCCAGGGTAGGGACATGGGGATCAGGGAAATAGTAAAGAGGATGAAGACATGAATAAAAATAACACAGAAAACATAGGATAGTATCAGGAGGGGGTTCCAGTGAATACTGAAATTGCCCATGTTTAATTTTCCTTATACTTCTATACTCAATACAAAAGGGAAAGGAAGACAACAAGTATCTTTAACATGATTCAAAGGACAACTCGAACAGTTCATTGTTTCAACACTTTGAGACATCAAGTAATTAGCATTGTGTTGTTTAGGCAGTAAGGTCGCCCAAGTATCCTGAAGGCAGCCACTCCCCAGGTTAAACCTCCAGTTACAGAAGGAGCAGAAGTATGCTTGTGTATCCCGACCATCTGTCAGGGTGGAGTGGGTCTACCTGTATGAGCCATCTTAATGTCAAAAGGACCAAGTCACCACATCCTGGTCAGGATGTGCAGCCCTGGTTGTTGTCAATGGTTTTGAGCAACCTCCAACTCTCTGACCTTCACACAAGGTGGAAATAGGCTCACAGTTTTGGGGCCACCACACAACAGGACAGTTTAGGAGATTCATGGGGAGATGGGGAGGCTGGACTCACAGGGGGTCACCGTCATCCATTTGTGGGACATTCCTTCTGTTTGTGAGACTTGGGACTGGAAGCAGAGTCTGTAAGCCCTGCACACTGAGGTGGGAGTTCAACCCCAGAAGAAAGCAGAGCAGCTACCGCCTTGCAGATTCTGCTGCTGCGTGCCCAGCAGCGCACCTGCAGCATTGCATTCAACCCTTCCAGGCAGCCTGTGGTGGTCTCACCGTCCTCATGGGGTTCAAGATGCAGAGATGATGGGTGGGATTTCTAGTAAATGATTCAGTCAGGTGGTTTAAAAGAACAATTTGTTTTCATCTCTCATAGTTGTGCAGTTTGCTGGGCTCTGCTGGGGGAGGGGTCCTCCCATGAGGTCCCTGGGAATGTAACAGTCAGCTACTGGGGAAAGCTGGGCATGTGTTGGCAGCTGACTAGCCTCACGTGGCCTCTCCTGGTGGCTAGCCGAGACTTCCTCACTACTTGGCAATGTCAGAGTAGTTGAACATCATAGAAAGTAGCTAGTTTCCCCTATATTAAGTATTACACATGACCAGACAGTGCAGTTTATACCAAATGTTTAAGAATTAATTTCTTCATAATGTATTATCAGCAAATGTTTAATTTGTATGGCTATTTTATATATTTGTACCACAGGGGTAGTATAAAAATTACTCAGGCACAATGGGGCCTCAAGCGTGGAAACAGTTTAGGATGCCCTTACCTCACCCCGAAAAGTAGGTAGCGTCCTTCCTACCCCCTTCCACTGCTCAAGAATCACAGGGCACAGACTCATGGGCGCAGAAGGCTGGGCTCCGTATCTCAGGGGAAGGGCAGCTTTTAGGTGAAAGGTGGCAGGGGTGGACGAAGTCCACTTTGAAACCTGCTACACCAGACTTTGGTCCTAACAGCCTGACTCCAGTCTGTCCCTGCTTTCAGTCACTGTGTTCCCCTGTCTCCGGGTAACACACACCCAGCACAGGTCATTCTTGGTGGCTGGAATAAGACACCCTGGGGGCATGAAGAAGGAATTACCAGGTCAGGGAGACCTTTGCATGCAAACACTTGCACGCACATACATATTACACACATGCACTTGCACATGATCATGTGCACATACCCCCTTCCCCTTGGTGTAAAGACTGACTGGCTATACGGGGACATTTATAATTGCTGGTTACGTGGAGAGAGCTCTGAGGCAGCAGGCAGCGAGGCTTGCTCTGGAAGTGAGAAGCCTCGAGATCCAGTCCCATCTCTACCACAGTATGGTTGATGCTGGGCGCTTGAGGCACCAAGAGCCCCAGGAATGCAAGGGTCCCCCAGACCTTCCCTAGAATCCCAGCTGACCCGGCTATGCTCTGCTGCTTCGCCCCAGATTGGAGAGCCACACTTGGTGATCTGCATGGACTGCTCGGCGGACACCATGACCAACCGCCTCCTGCAGAGAAGCCAGAGCAGCCAGCGAGGGGAGGACACTGCCAGGACCATTGCCAAGCGCCTGGAGGCCTACCACCGAGCATCCATCCCCGTCATCGCCTACTACGAGACAAAGACACAGCTATGGAAGGTGAGGCTCGTCTTCACATGGGCCGCGCGCTCGTTCCTTTGCAGGCAGCTGCAGGAGTGAGAACAAAACAGGAATTGCTTTCTTCCCTTGCTCTTGTCTTGATCGGAGGTGAATATGAACAGAAGAGGGCGCTGACCATGGTAGTGCACCGTTTTAATCCCACCACCCAGGAGGCAGGGGTAGGCGGGTCTCTGTGAATCTGGCCAGCCTGGTCTACAAGGCAAATTCCAGACTAGCCAGAGTCATATAAGGAAAACTTGTCCTAAAAAAAAAAAAAAAAAGAGTATCTGAGGTCAGATGGCCATAAGAAGTTGTTCACTAATCTGCAGCAGGTGCCATTGTAGTCACTGAAACTTCTTTTCCCAAAAGACAGACAGCAAGTGTGGGGCCTAAAGCATGAGCCTGTGGTCCCTGGTGAGGCTGAGACAGGAAGATCACACCTAACTCACGAGGCCTGGGGAGCACTCACCTGACACGCATGAGGCCTGGATTCCATTTCCAGTACTGTAAAAAGAAAAAGGGAGGGGCAAGCTTAGGCGAGAGCTCGAGCACTAACTGTAGGTGGTGCCAGACCTCAGGTGAACAGGATGACCCAAGGGCAGGCCTGTTCCAGGTCCTGGATTTGACACCTTTGGGTTCTGGAGTTCACACAGGGCTTGATTGGCACTTGGCTCCTTTGTACCTTGGGGGAGAAGAAGCACATGAGGCCAGGCCAGTCGGTGGGGCTGGGGGGGTGGGGGGAAGCTGGCACATGACATCATACATGGGGCTATGATGGGAGGGAAGGCTGGCACATGACGTCATGCAATGCCACAGTGCAGTCCACATGGCCACCATTAATATCACATACTTGGCACACTCCCCAGTCCCCGTTCTTTCCCAGATTCTGTAACTTGTGCCTGGTCTAACCATATGGTGGTTTGATGTAGTTTGAACCTACAGCGCTTAGGGTTTTAGTAGGGCAGGCAGAGAGCACAGGGTGTAAGGTCAGTTACACGCAGCCCGAGGATGAAGCAACATGGTCTAGGGACATCACCAAGAAGTCAGTAGAGGAAAAGGAACAGTAGAGCCAAAGGAGAGGCCACAAGGTCAGGAGGGCGGGTCACTCACTTGTCGGTGACATTAAGGGTCAAGGAGAGAGGTGCAGAAATCTATCAAAAAACGGAGCCACTATGGGGCTTCCTTCTGCAATTCACTCCCCTGTCCTCCAGAGAAAAGCACAGAAGGTAGGGTGCAGGGCAGCTACTGGGGGCCGAGGAAACATGGGAAGGGCACGAGGGTACAATCCCCAGGATGGCAGTTATCAGTCAGCTCCTAGCAAACTGCTCTCTGAGGCCTGGGGTAAAACTATTGAGAGCGATTTTTTAAAATTTAACTTTATTATGTGCATGGGTGTGAAGGTGTCAGATACCCTGGAACTGGAGTTACAGTTGTGAGCTACCATGTGGGTGCTGGGAACCGAACCCGGGTCCTCTGGAAGAGCAGCCAGTGCTCTTAACTGCTGGGCCATCTCTCCACCCCAAGAGCAAGTCCTAAACCTATCTATGCCCCCACTTTTCAGAATCCTATGCCCTTAGTAAGAAAGGTTGAGAAAGTGCCTCTTCCGCAATCCAGAAAGTTGAAACTCAAGTGTTTCCTGTAACCACTTGTTGCCATTAAACAACAAAGACTTACACCTTTAAAAAAACAAACAGGCTGATGAGCTGTGAGCAAAGGTGTCTGCCACCAAGCCTGAAGACCTGAGTTCAGGTCCCAGGACCCACACACTGGAAGGAAATTCCCACAGCACAACCCCATGAGTTGCCCCCCTCTGCTCTGCACACTGGCGTGCATGCACCCACCAATGAATAAGATGAAAAAATTAGTAAAATAAACATGAAGGTATCACGTGAGTGCACAGGAGTAAAACTCAGGGCTGAAGGTGGAAGCGAGTGCCTCCCCGAAGAGCTCTTGCTGCTCTTCCAGAGGACCTGGGTTCAATTCCCAGCACCCACACCATGACACAATCATTTCTTAAAGAGTCCCAGGGAATCTCACACCCTCTTCTGTCCCCCAAGGGCACTGTATGTACTTGGTGCACAGATATACATGGAGGCAATACGACCATCTATACATAGGAATAAAAATAATTTAAAGAAATTTAGGGCTGCAAGAACCTTTGTAAGGCTAAAGTCCCTAGGAAGCTTCCCCGCTTGGTGCTGCCTGGAACAGCCCAGGGATTCTCCAGGTAGAAGGGAACTCCCTCCACTTCAGTCTGAGACTGGGGAAGGCCAGACAGAATTCAGTTTATCGCATTTCAGGATCAGGAAATCCCCCCCACCTCTGTGTTTCTTCCTCTCTGTCTTGAATTATCTGAATCTAAGCCTGCAGACTCCCAGATGAACGGCTCGTTGACAATGAACTAACAGGGTTCTCAGAGAAACCTGTGCAGTCCTTACAATTCTGTGCTGCTCTCCAAGACATCAGGTTCCCAGGCTTCCCCCTTGTTGGGGATGCGGCATCTGGATCCAGAGAAGTAACATTTATCATCGACTTTTTCAGTATTGAAAACGGACACCAGAGAACAGGGAGACAGGGCTTGGCTCCACTGCCTTGCCGGGTCCTCTGTGTTCAGCTCTTAGAGCACAGTCTACGCCTAGGATGTAGGAGTGACATGGGAATGATGCACAGCTTCTGCTTCCTGTCTTAGGATGTGAAGGGGGACCACACCGCAGCTTCCTCCCTTCCGTCTGGGTTCTGCAGGCAGCTGCCATCAATCACCATGCTCTACCTGGGATGTGCAGGCTTCAGGGCAGAGCCCCACAGAAGGATAAGCTAGCCCACAGAGGGGGAATTTGCTAAGCCAGCAGCTGGAAACGAAGCACTTGTGAAAAGTGCCAACACTGACCAAGTATCGCTGGAAGCACTTGTCTGGGTGGTGGAAAGTCCCAGGCCAGTTGTCCTCCTTACGGGTCTTTCTGATAGGAAGTGCTGGCAGCAGCTGTGGAAATTCTTCCAGCCTGTTAGTTTATGATTCTTGGTGGAGAAAAGTTTTCCCCTCCAGTTTTAATCATGCTCATTTTTAAAAAATATAGCAAACCCACTTCTGAGTTCCACCGCCCAATCGGGATGAACACTCCAGAGCAGGACTGCATACAACACGGTGGTGGCCTGGGCATGGTGGTGGGTGTGGTTACAGAACATGGCCTGGGCATGGTGGTGGTGGTGGGCGTGGTCACAGGCAGTCAGCAGAGGAAGTGATGCGGCAGACACTAACTCTAGTCCACTCTGACACTGGGTTGGTTCCCGAAGCCCACGTCACTCAGGACCACCAGCTTCACAATTATACATTACATCCCCAGACAAAAGCAAAGAGAAAGAACAAAGAGAACAGGCAGCCACCAAGGTCACCCTCCTCACTTCCCAGCACTAGCTCTGATTAAAAACAAACAACAAAATCCAATGTCTTCAACACTGATGAGGACATCCCTCGCCGCAGGGCTATCAAGTTTCAGAGCCTTATAGGCAGACCTGTCGTTCCAGTGTTCTACTACACACCAGGACATCGCAGTTTAACTGCAGGCTCAGCACTGGAGTCTTTGGGGTGAAGTGGATCATGAAATTCCTTTTGACTGAGAACAGCGAGTTGCTGCAGTCATGGGGACCATGCGCAATGTGGTGGAGGCTGCAGTCTCATGTCTGCTAATCCCATAAATCCTTTTCTGATCTCAGAGGACAAGGAACTCGGGCATCTTCTTAGCTTACTGTGTAAATGTGCTAAATCTGCAAGCACCAAAAATGGACCTTAGAATTGACTAAGTATGCTGAAGCCCGGGCACTCAGGAGGTATGGTTCAAGGCCAGCCTCAGATGCATAGCAAGTTCGAGGCCAACTTAGGCTATGTGACTCCTTGTCTCAAAGCACCCCACAAAACGTGGTTCTACATATGTAAGTTGGTCTGCCTCATTCCTGTGCAGAAATAGAAGAGCCCCTTATATTTCACCTAAATTACTCTACGGGAACTGAGATGAACAGGCAGAGGGAAGGACGGGGAGAAATGGAGAGGACAGAGGCTCTGGGTCAACCCTCGCCTGCCAATAGGAAACAGAGGCTGCACTTGGGGTGTCTCACCAGCCTAATGAGGCTGGCCAGCTGTGAATGGGTTGCCCTCTTACCACAGCCAAAAGCCACTTTCTCCTGGGAAAGCCTGTTTCTCTAGTTTTTAAACTTTCTGACATTCAGACTTTGCAGAAGCAAAGACCATAGCATGAGTCTCTGGGGAAGCGTTTCCATAGATAGACAGAGGATAGATGGATAGATGATAGAAATCCTTGTATTTAAGCCTTGTTGCAAAATGAAGGCCATACACGGAAGCTAGCACCGCCTCCCACCCCCCAGCTCAAGTCTGATTGGCCAGGAATCCCCGAGCACTGTCCTTCACAGCAGGCACTCAATGGCTTTCTGTGTGGAAAGGGATCTCCTGCTCCCATGAGAGCATTCCTTAGCCCCACAGAAGCCCAGGGTCTCCCACCAGGAAGATCCAGAAGCCTGTGTGGGAGGAGGGGAAACATGCTCTCTTGGCCAGCTGTTCTGTGTTGAGCCTACCTGCCAGACTCCAGAGATAACACAGTGCTGAGAGATATCTCGTCCTCAGGAACAACTGGATGATGATGATGATTCTCTCTGGCTCAAACTTTGGTCAAGCTCTAGAACATTCCAAGCCCATCTGTAGGCTTCATATATAAATCAGTTTTAGCAAAGACCACTAAATCAGCACTACCCCATGCCCATCACCTCCTAGAGTTATGTCCCTGTCTGTGACATTCTATGGGAAACTGGCCTTGAACTCCTGACCTTCCTGCCCCTACCTCGCCAGTGCTAAGATTATAACCACAGCCCACCACAGGTGGCGTTCCCCCAGCTTGTCTACTGCAGGAACCGTTAGGTGGGGTTAGCTGGCGCTTGCTGCCGCTTGGTAATATCCTTACTGGCCTCCACTTTGCTTCTTGCCTGTAAATTCCCACTTGCTGACACTGTATTCAGACTTGACCTACCTACCGACCTTCTGCAAGATCCCATTGTCGGGGGCCCTACTGCTATCTCACCGGCCCTGAATAAACACAGCATAGTGGTGCACACCTGCATTCATTCCAGTACTTGGTTACTGCAGGAACACAGGGGTAGTGTGTACCCCATACTCATCTGTACATGACAGACGCCTGGTGGTAAACACTTTTGATCCCGTCACACAGGCCAGTCTGGTCTACATAGTTTCAGCCTAAGTTGACATAGTGAGACCCTGTCTCAAAAAAAAAAAAAAAAAAAAAAAAAAAGAACTCAGCCATGGCTAATACAGAGCATCCAAGCAAAGCCCAGTTAGCTCAGTCAAAGCCCTGAGATAGGGAGAGCAGGCTTGGGTACACGGTTACGGACTGTCGTTGCTAGTGCAGGGCTCTCTGCTTTACTTCAGCGGCTGTCGGTTCTTTGCAAAGTTTTACACCTACGTCTCTGTTCTTCAGGAACCTTTATCTCTACATTTCCTTGTAGCTCACTCTCCACCTCCCATTCCACCATCATTCCTTGACCCATGTCCAATCATTCAGCCACTTAAAAATAGCTGACTGCCGGGCAGTGGTGTTGCACACCTTTAATCCCAGCACTCAGGAGACAGAGACATGCGGATCTCCCTGAGTTCACGGCCAGCCTGGTCCACAGACTCCAAAAACTACAGAGAAACTGTCTAAAAAAAAAAACAAATAATAACAAACTATCTGATAAATAATGATGTAGTTGACAAGTATCAGACTTTAGTTTTGTGGTCTGATCCTTGGCTTGGACGACATGAGTCATCTTTCAGTCACCTGTCCTTCAGGTCACTATTCCTTCATTACTTCAACATCACACGTGGCATGACTAGCCACCTTTATCATTCTCAGAGTTTGTCTCTGCTCTCCCAGGACTGTGCGAGACATACCTAATCCTCAGCCCCTTGCCTGGCTCCTACCAGTGTGAACTCCTGCTGGACTTCACTGCCAACGAGCGCCGTGCCCCTGCACAACTGCACTGTTGTCTCTTGGCGGCTTCGTCCCTCAGTGTCCTCTGCTGGCACTGGGACAGAGGAAGCCAGGTGCTGTGAGGGACCTAAGCACAGGGGTGATGACCCCTGGTACAAAACACTTCAGTTGAGGGCCCTAAACAGACTTTTAAAATACGTACACTTTGAAGAGTAAAACAAACATTCCCATAACCACCGAACAGGCCAGCAAACACTCACAAGCCCCACTGTCTCCTTGGGTCCCATTCTTCTCCAGGAGAACCAACCATATTCTCTCATGAGTCATCTATCTTTCTGGTTTGATCACCTATGAAGAGATCAATATAACTTAGCTTTGTTTCTGGTCATGAGTGTATAAACAATGTGGAGCTCCATTATTCCAGCACTTCAGGGCTGGAGGCATGGAAGCAAGATCCTCTGTTACATAAAGGAGTTTGGGGCCAGCCTGGAATACATGACACTTTGTCTCAAAAAGAGAATAAAAATATTGCTAGATAAGATTTTGGGAATATTTAAACATGTAAAAATTGATTTCTGGTTGCAAAATTGAAGCTACTGTAGGCAGGTAACAAGAATTAAAAAAAAAAAATTGTTCCTCTAAGTTACCTCAAACAGCCCTGAGCTCTCAGGAAAATTGTCTCCTGGGCATCCATGTTTCCTATATATTGCTGTATATTCCACAATATTCAAGTGTGGAATCAAAAGACTGGTTAAGAAAATGTAGCTTATCCAAGCATAAAAGGAAAACCATCACTTGTATCCAGGGAAATGTAAGAAGTGGAGAGCAGGTTAACTCCATGCTCAGAAAAGGCAAACATTGCATGTTTTCTCTTGTGTGCAGAATCAAGATTCTAGAAATAAACCATTAAAAAGAGGGCCTTTTTGGAAGACAGAGAGGCAGTGGGAGACAGGATGAGAGACTGGGGAGCTATCTATGATTGAGGGATGCTGTGTGCAGTTATGAAGACATCATGGTAAAACCCACTATTACAATTAGCAGATGGTAAAATCATCTGAAAACGTGCCGACTGTGCGCGGAGCCTCTGGCAAGGGGCTGGATATTCTACAGAGCCTGGTGACCATGGCTCCAGTCACCTGTCTGCTCACTGACCTATGTATATGCAGTTTCACTAAAAACTGTGCAGGAACTCAGTTCCTTTTTAAGTGGTAAGCCCCCCCCCCCCCCAACTCTCCTAAGCAAGCAAGGCCTGTGAGGTCTAAGGCATGCTACCAGTATCTCTCTGGCCTCCGCAGAGCTTCTGGGGCCAGGCCACCTTCTGAAGAGGAGCTTTATTCTCTGCAGCGGCTGGCTGGGTGTCCAGGACACCACCCCTCCTGCTCCATCTGCTGCTGGCTCCCTACACAGGTGAATCATCTATCTTCAACAACTCTGCCCCAGGATCTGCACATTGTGGGCCTAGTCTCTGCTGCTTCTCCACGCCCCTGCTCCTGAGCCCTCTGGTCCAGGCTACACTCCCACCGTGATCTAAGGGCTCTCATGGCAAGGGACTTAGGTGTCCCTTGATTTCTAACAATACTCCGAGCACGGCCCTCAGTATGCTGTTTGCATGAACTTTCTGCTTTAGAGCATTTAGGTCAGATAAACTGATGAGTTCTCAGATACCCCATCCTCAAATACAGTCACCTCAACTATCAACATCACTCAACAGCCATCCATTTTTCACAGTAGATGAACCTGTACTTGTCACCCAGAGGCAATGGTTGGCATCAACACCTTCGTGTTGTTCACTATGTTTGGACAAGTCTACAATGTGAAGCAACTACACTCAGATCCTCCCACTTAACCCTCACCTCTTCTGCACTGCCATGGCCTGACTATACAGCACGTGCCCCTTGCAGACTGGCTTCTGCCACTTAGTCAAGTGCATGGAAAGCTCATTCGTATTAGGCTGAGTGACCGCCACTGTCTGGGGGCCACTACTTGCCTGTGTAAATGCTAAAAGACATCTTGGTACCTTTCAAGTTTTGTCAATCACCAAGGAAGCTGTTGTAAACACGCACAGGCAGGTTGGTTGTCTCCGAGTTCCGTGTGGAATAAAGCTGCTGGGGTCTCACACGTGGCCGTGCCATTTTCCACTCATCAAGAGCTCTGGCTGTTTCACATCCCAGGCAGCATTTGGTGGCGTCAGCTTTGGGGCATGCAAATGAGTGTGTAGCGATGCTCTTTCATGTTAATCTAGAGAGGTTAATTCCACTTACTGGGTCTCACTATGTAGCCTTGGCAGGCCTAGAACTGGCTATGTGGACCAGGCTGGTCTTGGACTCAAGAGATCCCCACTCCTCTCCGTTCTTAGTGCTCCAGAGGGACCTGCTTTTGAAGCCATCATTTTTCACTCTAGCCTCTGTGGGTGCGGGTGGGGAGCGGAGAACAGGACGACGCTGTTTTAAGTTTGCTGAGCAGAAGCAGGTAATCTTGTTTCATTATTATCTTAAAAAAATGCCATTTATAAGCAGGCCAGAGGGCTAGTAACTCTCTCTTCCTTTCAAATACAGGTAAACGCAGAGGGAACACCAGATCAAGTTTTTCTTCAGCTCTGCACAGCTATTGACTCTGTTTTCTGAAGGAGAAAATGCACAACTGTTAAGGAAAGCAGAGACAGAAGAACATGAAATCGTCCCCTAATTAACACATTTCCCTGTGCCCCCCCCCCCCATCCTAGCAGGCCGTCTCCTTCCCAGCCCGACTCACGTAAGAGATACCTGAAAGCCATGCATGGTATCTTTGGGACTGCCCACTTTCCCTCCTGTAGACAGCTGTCCTCTCTGGTACACATTTTTCTGTCACTGGGCTGTACTGCAGAGCAAAGTCAGGATAGGAAGAGCAGTGTGGGATCCGCCTGTGCTGCCCGGTCCCACAGGGAGACCGCGTCCCTAATTCTCCATCACAGCTTCCTTCTCACCCCTTTGTTTCTTCCCTGAAGTGGGTACTTACTTAGCATGGGGCAAGCCTGGACACGTCATCCTGCACTGGCTCTGGTGGGAACTTTAACTGCCCTGTGGAACAGAGAGGCACCAAGCCAGCAGTACTTGACAGAAATGTTTCAAAATAAGGCATTGCCCAGCTTCTCTAAGGGAGCCTTTTTGGATAGTCAGTATTATCCATTTTTGAGAGCCCAGCTACATGGAATATGAGCAGCTGTACAAGCTACTCTCTGTGTGATGTGGTACGTCTCAGCGTCAGAGACCGGAAGTAATTTTAAAGTAGGAGAGATGACTACTCCACTCACTGGACAAAACCATCTTGCAGTTCTGATACGAGATGATTACTTCCTGACATACTGGCCAAGTAAGAAGAAAGGAACAGTATCCTAAGCGACACCGGGGGACAGGCTAGTGCGTGGGTGTCTTGTGGCTCTTGTGTATGTTTCATGGGCCTGCTCCATGGGTAAATACCTGCGCCACACCAGCGAGGCGTGGGTCTTTTGTGCGGAGCTGTTCAACTGGAGCTGCTTCTGTCTTCTGAAATACCTGCATCTTGCACTCAGTCACCAGACAACACACAGTTCGGTTTGCATGATTCTTTTCCTCAACGAGTGTGCAAATACAGATATCTTTCCAGGACAGAACTGTATTTTTAAAATCATTTTTTTCCCTCAAAACAGTTATGTACAAATGAAATAAATGGAAACCAGCAAAACTCTTTCTCTATTTATTTGTAACGCATATCATTCTAGAAAGCCTTTGACAGCTTTCATTCCAAACAGAAGCAAACACAGTAATAGTTTAAAATTATGATCCACTTATATGGTTTGAACTTTGGCCACAGACCAGATCTGAGCTATTACAGAGAAATTGTGAATGTATTCATGATACATGGTCATTTTCCTATTTCTTTTTCCCTAGCACTGGCTCCTAAACAGGAACGCCAGAGTGTGCTGGACAAGAAAGTAAGTTTCTTTGGTTACAATCAGGTCTCTATTACCAGAAAGGGTGCATCATGTTCCCAGATCCACACTGTGAATTCTTACACTACCCCAGGCTGTCACACTCCCGACAGGGGAACATGGATATCTGAGCAAAGATGCCAAGTGCTGCTACAGGATCAAAGCTTAAACAAGCAACTCTAGGGACAAACAGTCTCCAAACACAAAACACACACTGGCAAACACCACACCCACAGCTCTGGATGAGGAAATGGGGATGCAGACAGGCAGGGAGACCAGCCCGAGGTTCCATCAGGTGGCAGCTACTTTGGAAAACTTCGACAGAAAGAAATCAGTACCTGGGAATGCAAATCAGTCTTCCAAAGAACAGCCAAAACATACATTGCTCTTGAGAGTGGCTCCCAGCAGCATCACTATTTCTTCACAGCAAGGTTGTACATGTATGTGGACAACATCACAACACAAATGTCAACTCCCTGGCTATGACCTATACTCAAGACCACACCCGAACTGGTCTGTGCCCTCCCTCCCTCTCACACATCTGCTCAAGCCACAGCACCTGCCTTCAAAGCTGCCCAAGCAAACCAAGTTCTTGGCTGGCTCTGGCCCTGACCACTGGCATCCTACAGCTGATCCACACAGCTAGTTCCCACACTCCAAACTAATTACCCTTGCCACTGAGGGCTTCTCAACCTAAGATGACAATGCTCTTCACACTGCTGTTTTTCTTTTATTTAACTAAGGGCTATTTATGCTTATTTGCACATTGTTGTCTTGTGTGCTGGACTATAAGCTCCACAGAGGCCTGGATTTTCTATCGCAGTTCCCAACACATCTGTTACTACTGAGAAATAGCATGTTATAGGTTTCAGTGCCTTTCATTTCCCCATTACATGCCGTTAGTGCAAATCAGTAACTAGTTCCTAGAACTCAATCAAAGGTACTCCACTTTCCCAGATGTGATAGAACCCAAAACGTCTATCAACCAGCGAGCATGACGGAGTCACACCCATGGATGATCTGACTGGTTAAGTTGGATGTAGAGGCTGTTCTCTAGGGCATGTCAAGGGACCTCCTTAGAGTTACTGGCACCTCATGTACTGGGCCCCACTACCTCTAAAGAAAAAAAGTTTAACTTAGCAAAACAATGGGTCATATAACCAACAATTACTGTAGAGATTCTGCTAAGCGGTCAGAGCCTAGAGACACAGACATGGACTGTGTTCTCAAGAAGTTCAATGTGTGAGACACAACTCTCAGAAATCACTCCATTTAACAGATACATACTCCCTGTAAGCAAAGCCGTAGGTTGTGGCTTCCTCTGGGATCACATGAATAGCAGTTACTAACTCTGCCACTGAAAACCAGAACTGTATAGGCTTAAAAAGGACAATGAATGCCTGGAGACGCTCGCTTCCTCCAGGGCACCCAGAACCATGGCTTTAAACGTGCTGTCCACAGTAAGAAAGTTCATTCATCAAATCTCACATGGCTGTAAGGGAAATGTCACAACACAAGGCTTGTCTAGTACAGCAGGAGGTCACTTTCTGCCACCCTTTAAATACTGTTCTCATCCCTCAGTCAGCTGTGTCCTGGGATCTAAGTGAAAAGGAGGGAGAGAGGAGTCAAAGGACACCACAGGTCAGGTGGGGGCAATGGAGATGCATGTATGTGTGTGTGCTCCAGCCACTCACAGATCTCTCTCCTCTGTCACGAATGTGGCCACGGGCCCAGGTTTGTACTCTAGCAATGCACAAGAAACAAAGGTATCAAGACCACACCGAGTACACAGAGTACCTGACAGTGGGGGTTGTTCCTGCTTAGGAAACCAAGCCTAATGCAGACAAATCTTAAAGGCAGGTCTCATCACTACACTAACAATATGCCTCGAGGCATATGTTTCTTTCTGGCTAGGTCTCCCATGAAAACAGGGCAATAAATGAAGCTGCTTCGTTGGCTTGAGAACCCAGTGAGCTGCCTGCCACATGCTTGCTTTGTGCTCTGTAAGGGCTGCTCGGCATTTGCTATTGGTGCCTCTCCCCAACATCAGCTTTGGTGTGTTATTGGTAGCAAACACCTTGAGCATCACATGCCACGACACAAATCTAACCTAAGACACTTCACAACACTGCTTCTCAAGTACAGCGGTCAGCAGCCAGTATTCCTTGCAGACAGATGAAAGGTCCACACACAAAGAAGAACACCGCCCACTCTGCAATCCTCCAATAAAATTACAAGAAAACATTCCCACCAAGTCATTGGGATGATGTGCTTAGAGATGAAAAATCCAAAATAAATCAATCTTCTGTTCAACAGGAAAAACCCACATCACGACCTCCGCCTAAAACCTTGGCCTTTGAGAAAGGCGTTCAAGTGTCCACTCTTGATGTCACTACAGCTGCATCACTCACACCCCTTCCAAGGTGTATTTCAAGCTTCATGGGATTTGTGGATGGATGGAAACTGCTCTCCAGAGCGATCTGGTACTACTTCTATACAGACAGCTGTACCTGTCCTGCATATTTACAGACGGAAGGCAGCCCTCTGGCTGTGAACTGAGCATTTAGTATAGAGACACCTAGTCCAGCTGTCTCTCCTTCACCAATGACCCAGAGATAAAAGCCTGTCAACTTTTCTTTCTGAGCACAATAGACTGCATCAATATGACCAGTGATACATTATCAATATATTATTTAAAATTCTCATTTCCATATTTAAAATTCTATTTTTCTTACTTAAAAATTCAGGGTAGATTTTAATACTTTAGTGCTAAGTATTGAAAAGAATTAGTAAATAATGTTCCCTGAACTTAAAAACAGAAAAAACAAACAAGGTTAAAAACAAGACTAGTATAATACTTAATTCACCATAGAACATCCTATCTCTTCCTGGTTGATAACTGTTGGAAACCACCTGTTTCTCTACCCGGGACTTGACTTTGTCAGGACAGAACTACTCATCCCGAGACCCCGTGTGGACGCTGGTGAGCGCCCTGCCGTGCAGTGTGCAGCACACTGGACAGACTCTAGCACCCCCAGCAGGACGCAAGCTCACACTCTTCACCCTCTGTAGAGAAGAGAAAGCGCACACAGATGGACAGGTTTTCAAGTGATGAATTCTAGCTAACACTTGCTGAAAGGAAGCCACGACGAGCGTTCTATAATATAAACAACATATCCACATAGTTTATTTCTCACAGTCATCCCGACAAGTGAACGTACTGCAGACAGATAAGAAACGTACAAATGTTTTAGATGATGCACAACGAATCCAGCAGTATAAAAGAATGCTGTGAACGCTGCTCACTGTGCAGACTACGTTTAATTACTCCTTAAATAGTAATAAAAATACAATCTTTTATGGATCTTGTGCAGACTACAAAAGAGGGAAAATGATCACCATATATGTGATTTTTATATTAGGCAGTTTTCTTTGACGAGTTGTACGGACAACTCCGAATACAGAGGCAGAAGGCTGTGTATCTCAAGGGATTAACGCTGTGACTCAGACTTTACACAGTCTACCACTGGCACTCTTCACCACAGTCTGTACACATCACATGATCATCTTTATAACATGACTTTAAAAATATATCTCGTGACAACTGTACGACATTCACACCCGTGAGCTGGTTACGGGAGCAGAGCACAGCCACCTCATGCTTTGCTCTCGGTAAGGACAGTTCATCGTGATTAAAAGTTAGGTATCAAACCGTTACGCAGCTCCAGTCTACTAAAGGCCATCAGTGACCACCGGACAGAGTTCTTTTAGAGTACACATCCTAGAAGCAAACACCAGCATTGGTTAGAACTTCGTCTATGAGTCAGTTTCTGCGCTGAAAACTATTTTCACAAAACTGAAAGCCACTAAACTGATTTAATATGAATACCTTGTCTTCCATCACCATACTTATGACCGAGGTCTCTGAAACCTTTGGGCTTTGCTCTCGCGTTTCCATCGCCCATCTCAGACCACCACCTACAAGGCTTTATGGTGGTGGAGTCTCACCAGGGAGACGCTCAGCTGCTCATCTACAGCCACACGGTGCAGAGCTGTACTTGACGAGAACACTCGGGGAGCGCTCATGCTGTGAGTGTCCAAACTGCGCACACCTTCAACAATGACGCCATTGCTGTGTGCTGATGAGAACTAGGGCCGACACTCTCTTCCATGTCATCTGTTGGCTGGGAAGTAGTTGGGGTCAAGATAACTATAACTAGTGCCCTGGGACACACAGTAGTCTCTGTCTAAGAACGTCTCTGACTTATACACAGGCTCTAACTGGTGATCGTCCTTGTGAATATCTGTTTCATGTGGGCTGCAAGGAGAAAACAGAGACAGACTCATTATCACATGACTCCAGATGTATGTCCATCTACCCACCACAGAATCTTCTCAGTTAAACTGATCCCTTGGAAAGCCTTAACAGGAAACTGCTGGAGAGCTGATGTGTGATGTGATTTAAGGAAAATTTTAGTTGCTTAGAATAAAATCTAATGCATAAAATTATTGTTACACAAGAAGTTTGGGGATAAAGTTCACTGCTTGAGGTTCCTGTCCCCCAAACAAAGAAAGCGCTTACCAATCTGAACAAGAGTCACAGAAATCCAGAGACATTTCTGGGGGACAGTCCTGGCAGTGCCACCGGACACCCTGGATGGGTTCTGCACCACAGTTATCACACTGCAACAGACACAGAAAGGCACATGACATGACACACAGACCCTTCCCCCTGCTGTAGAGAAATACAACACACCAGCTTAGACAGAATTCCCAGTGAAGGAGACTACTGGTGGACGAGAAACAACCTCTGTATTTACCCAAGAAGTTTTCAAGTCAGTCACCTCAAACTCGGGCATTCTGCCAACGATTCACCAATGTGAATGTGGACACCTGACTTGCTCATACCAGACCTATAAGTTGTCCAGGCGTGTAGTGGCAGACACCCAGAGAGCGTCCAACTCCTCTACGGACAGTCACCAGCCTGAACCCCACAGGTAATGCACAAGACCCCTCAGCCTGCCCCCATGTCACATTTGGATGAGACTGGCCTCACAGGCTCATGGTTGAGTGCTTAGCTCCCAGTTGGTAGAACTCTTTGGAAACAATTAGGAGGTGGGCTTTGAGTTTCAGAACCCAAGTCTGCCCTGTCTTTCTGTTCACTGCCTGCGGGTTGGGATGTAAGGCTCGCAGCTGCTGCTCCAGCATCTGTCTGCTTCCCACCACGCCAGCCCTGGACTCATCCTCTCAAACTAAGCAGCCCCCAGTTAAGTGTGTCCCTTTCTGAGAGTTTCCTGGGTCACGGTGTCTCTTCACAGCAATAGTTTAAGACAGAGTAAATCTCATTTTCTCTCACAATCTAGAAGCCAGTTAGGAAAACCCCTTAAGGATGAGTGAGGTGACTGGCAGGTCAAGAGGAAAGGGTACTCCACAGGCCCAGCAGTCACCCACACACATCAACACTGTCCTGTGTGTGATCAACAGCAACACCACATTGTCATCTTGCTGAACTCTCCCCAAGCTCACTAAGTGCAGTCACTTTTTAAACTACTTGGCAAACCTCACGTGAGGTGGCCTCTGACCACTTTCATGCACTTCAGGTGGACTCAGGTATTTTGTTTGTTTTATTTGAAGACCGTCTCACTCCACAGCCCTGGTGGTGTCAAGCTGAGAGACTCGCCTGACCGCCGGGATGAGCAGAACCTGAGTCTGCCTCTCTCATGCCCAGCCTCAAGCACCCAGGAAAGTATCTGGAGCGAATACAATGAATGGCTCCTCCTCCAACCCCCTGAAGCTCAATGAGGCCGCTCATGGCCTTCACCCCACTAGTGCACATGGAGGACAGCTGCGGTCTCTTCTCCACACAGAGCCACACCCACACTGTAGGCACAACTTTGCATAAAAGAATTACAGAGAAACTTAGGAACCTTTCCCTGAATGCTTATCGACTTTAGAGCTGAATACTCCAGGTATCCCTTTCCACCCTTTTAAAAATGAGATGACCAAGTTGCTCACCTTAAAGCCCACATGCTGCACAAACCCACTTTCTGCTTGCATCTGCTGGAGCTTCTGCTTCTTTAACTTTTTAAACTGTAATAGTTCTTTATATTCAGGCAAGCTCCTATACATGATAGGAATGCTTTCCTCATCCTGTCAAAAAGAACAAAATACAAAAGTGTTAGTTTGATAATGAAAATGGACAAAGTGTAAGAAACACAATCCTGATTATTTTTCTACTGACATTTCTCACTTTTAAGAGCAGAAAATTAATGCTAGTATTTCTGGTATGTGCACACTCACCAATTCAGCTAGACTGGAGGTCAAGGGTTCCATCAACCCTCCCGTCTTTGCTGCCCCAGCACTAAGCATGTAAGCATGCCATCATGCCCAGGTGTTCACATGGTGCTGGGGATCCAAATTCAGGTCCTCATGCTTATGCACCAACCACTTTATACACTGATCCGTCACTCCGATTTTGTAGGACTTTAAATGCTATTCCAAGGTTGAAGTACACAGCCTCACCAGTAAGAAGATACCCCGTGACTCACACAACAGTGAAAACCCAATGCCTCCAGGGCTACCTCACAAGCCTATTAGACCCCTCCCTGCTCTGCAGTAGTTTGTTTTTCTAGTCTAACAGTTTTCACACTTAGCTCTGTAATCATGGCATTTTTTTTTTTTTTTCAAACAAGCAAACCAATGGCCAGTCTGCATCTGTAGTGACTGGTCAGAGCAGCACAGTCTTCACTCAAGGGGAAGACCCGAGTTACGCTGGCTACTTAGAAAAGAGTGTGGACTATATAAATACAACACTGGACCACAAGGTGTAAAATCCAGTGGTGACTGCTGCAGCCCTGGAGCTGACCAGCAGTGTCATTAAAAGCATCCTGTGAAGCCTGTCCTCTCCCTTCTCAGTGTCCAGTGCTGTCTGTGACCTCTCTGCTCTGCTCTCAGTCCCACAGTCACTTCCCTCTAGTCTCCCCTGGTCCCCACTCAACAGTTACACGCTGGACCTTGCCTTCAGAGTGTGCGTTGCTCCAAACCTGAGCCGCACGCCTCTCACAGTGCTCCTTCCCATCTCTCTTGCACATTTGGTACAGATATTTCCCCCTAAATAGTTCAGTCTGGAGACACAGATACAGCAGCCACCCGGCGCTTTCACTTGGTCACCACTGTACAGAGAGACTGACGGGGAGACGGTGGGCACAGGAGCTGGAGGAGCGCAGAGACACGGGAGATGCTGTCTGACACAGCTTCAGGTAGCAGGGTGGGAAGGATTTTGGAAACTGCACAGTAACACAAATGACTTATCAATACTACTGAACTGTGTACACAAGAGCTTTCTGAAAGGGACTAATTTCAATCCTAAGGTGGAATACAGATGTTTCAGTAATGAGTAGATGATACACATATAGTATCTTTAGCTGCTGTGTCTTTGGAAAGAGAAACCTATACATGTTACCATCAGAAAATTCATAAATACACATTTTAAATAGCTATGGGGATCAGAAGGGTATGGTGATATATGGTTGTAATTCTAGCTCTGAGGATTGCTAAGGCAGGAGGATTATCATTTCAAGACTTTCCTAGGCTACACAGAGAGACAAAAAGTTAAATCTAATCAACTTTACATTATTTTGTCAAATTAAATTTTTTTTGTATTGGGAAATCAATCGAGGGCCTTGCACAAACTACAGTGATGGTCACTGAACGCCTGTTTGAAATGTTCTGCACCCCTCCTCACATGGCCAACTCTCACCCAGTCTTTCTGTACCATTTTCACTCTCTGACCCCCCTCTTAAGTGACACAATGTTCCCTTTATTCCTCTGAAGCACTACACAACTGCTTACTGATATGATTCGTCAACAAGCCCAAGATGTAGAAGAACAGAGAGATACGTATGCTCACAGTGCCTGGTACAACATGTCACATACAGTCTGGTAAAGCAGTCCTCATCTGCAGCACACTAACCACCACAAAGGACAGAATCTGGTGAAAGCTGCATCTCCAGAAAGCTGTATCAGCATGGGCATCTCCATTAACATCTCATGTTCCGATTCTACGCAACCAGAGTTTTAGTGTGCACTCCTTCAGCAAGGACTCAAACATTTCATCCCAGCAAATTCAGAACAAAGGACCAAGTCAAACGACACAGTCCACGCTGTGAACAAATGACCCAGGTCTCACTGCAAGCAGCAAGGGTAAAGAAAGTGACAGGAGGGTTTTCACCCCCACCTCCAGTTCACTGCAGTTTTTGGGTCCAAACAAACAAGTCAAAGTACCCCGAGATTCTGAGTACAGCTCAGCTGGCAGAGTGCTTGCCTATGGAGCACAGGGCCCTAGCACGTGTGTGTACACACATCGGGCAATGCCTGCGGCACCCAGACACAGACACTCCATGACATGAAGAGTTCCCTCCTCATAAACCTGAGCTTGGTGTCCTGAACTCCTGCCAATGGAACTAAAGCTGAGTGACAGAATATGGGCTCACCGGGCTGTTCTCACTACTTAGGCCTATGCTGAAGGTCTTTTTTTCCCCCATGAAAAACAAAGCATATTAACTTTAAAATCTGACTTGTCAAGTTAAAAGAGAATCTGTCCTCAGCAATATGTAGAGAAGGAACAGTCAGAAAAATCAAGTGCTCTCATAATGTACTTCATCAGCAATCTCTGAAGAGGAGAGATGATCAGAAAATTACATACATAATGTACAGTCGTCTGTATAGAAACAGGTAACTAACTTACCGATGCCTCCTCAGCAGGAGTGTTCATGTGGTCATGGAAACAAGACCGGTCATCGTCTTCATCCATATACACAGGTGGCTCATGTGAAGTCATGAAAGTGGAAGGTTTAAAGAGGTGCTTATTAAGGGGGTGCTGTCGTCTGCTTGTTGAAGACTACGTGAGAAAACAAATGTCTTATTGGAACGATGAAATCTCATTGACAGAACCAAACGTGCACACACCCTACTGGTTCTAAGAATTCAACGCTGGCTTTACTGAACTCTTACGATCAACTTATACTGAAAACCACAGCATAAAATGGTCTGAGTCAGATTAACACCTTCCAGTTGGAGAGAAGTTGTCATACTCGAGTATCTAAAAAGAATTACCTAACACCAAGTAACTGCTAGCCTTGTAACAGTATCCCATGGGCCTCACAACATTCTGGCAAAGTAGTTATTTAGAGAGGAATAAACATAGGCAGGAGGAGCCAGCATGTAGGGGGGGGGGGGGGCTAAGGACCTCAGCAACACCTCCACTTTATGCAGCAGAGCCAACACCTGATAAAATTTAACATCACTAAGACATTCCTATCGCAAAATTGGTACAAAAGCCTTTAAGCAGTACTCATTCATATTACTTCCGAGAAAACAACAGAGCGGCTGAGGCCCAGCACGTTTCTCTAGGCAGAACCACAGACTCTCACTCTGCACTTGCACTCAGCAGTGACACGTCAGAAGAGGTGCAGCCCAGCACACTCACACCCACACGGAGCTCTGGAGCCAGTGACTTCAGCTAAGGTTGCTCGTCTGTGTGTGCGCCTTACCTTTTTGGAGTATATATATAAGTTAGGTGTTCGGCCTGGCACGGGAATGCCGGCTTTAGTTAGCTTTATGAAATACTTCTGTACACGACTGGCAACCTAAGGAGACACAACAGCTCTTTTAATACAATGAAATGATGCAATATATGCCAAGTTTCAAATGATAACAATTAAATCAAGAAATAAGTTTTAAAGAGCCATCAAACACATCTGTATTTTTAAATCTTAACAAAATCATTACAAATAAATTTAAATTTGTGTAGTTTCAAAGCTGAACCCTTCTTTTCCTTGGTGACACTGGGGAACACAGCAGGAAGCACGTTTGTAGTTAACACAGGAGGACATGAGGGGGCTGTGTGTGACACAGGAGGACATGAGGGGGCTGTGTGTGACACAGGAGGACATGAGGGGGCTGTGTGTGACACAGGAGGACATGAGGGGGCTGTGTGTGACACAGGAGG